GGGCTTGGCTCTTTTTAACCCAGCGTTGGGTTATATTTAACCCAGCATTTTTTAGAGTGCAGTGAGCGATGGAATGGAAACAGTAATATCACTATACTCTTTTCTATGTGGGAGTCTTTGATCCTGCAACTTATCTTACAATAATACAAATACAACAGAATACAAAACAACAACAAAATCATTATATTTATTGATTATCTTATTAATCACAGTGTATAATGTAAAACACTATTCTTTGAAAAGCTATTTTATAATGATTTGTATTGTGAAAAGCGATATACAAAAATGACTAACATTAAAAATGTGAACTAAAAAGGAGAGTTTAGATTCTGAAAAAAAAAGAAAAACGAATTACTTAAATGATATTTCTTGTGATATAATATCTCCAGTCACTGAAGACTATCTCCACTTTCCTGAGTATCTGATTAATCAGAGTTTAATGGTGTCTTCTCTCTCTTCTTCTGTTGAAGACATCTGGATCTGATGTCATAAACCAGCACAGCAACAGCAGCCACGCCCACCAGAGCAGAGAGAGCCAATCGGATCACAGCTTCAGTAGAACCACAACAGCAGACACAGTCATCTGAGAGTAGAAATAAGCAATATTTAAATATAAGTTGTGTGTGTGTGTGTGTGTGTGTGTTACTTCCTGAAGTACCTGAACATGGCTGACAGAGTTCAGTGTTGTTGAGATGTCTGGTCTGGTTGCTGATGGGATTGTTCACCACACAGCTGTAGGAATCATCCAGACACCCCAGATGTAAAGAAAGACTTTTTCTGAGATCAGACACACTGATGCTGGAGAATAAACTGTTTCCTTTGTACCAGGAGAGAGTCACATGACTCACATTCACCACTGAACACAGAAATGCACATTTAGACACTGATGATCCTGATGATGAAGTGATGACAGGAACAGGCAGATGAGCTGGAAACAGGGAATAAATCTAATTTTCAGTATAGAGTGCTGTGATATTTGTCAGTTCAATGATAATTAATATTTATAATTAGTATTTAAAAATTAAAAAAAATCCCCAAATATCACGTTAATATTTGTATGAACATAAAAAGTTTCAAATGAGACATAACCTGAACAAGTTTCACAGACAATTAACAAACAGAAATAATGAATAATGAAATAATGAGTCCCTGCACAAAGGAAGGGTCAATATCAAAAGTCACAGTACGTATCTTGTGTGGCCACTAGCTGCTTTAAGTACTGCAAAGCATCTCATCATCGTGGACTGCAGCAGATTTAATTTACGATTTTGCCATAATTGGTAGAACATGTGTCCCCGGTTTCACAGACAAGGCTTAATTCTAGTCCCAGACTAAAATGCATGTCTGAGCTGTTTCAACTGAAAGAAACTTGCATTAACTGATCTTAAAATATACAGTGCCACTGTTTTGTCTCAAGATGTACACCAGTAATGTTTTTTCCTAGGCACATGTATAAAAGCTACTTAAATGTCCTAACTGATCCTGGCTTAATATTGTCATGGCGCAATCTTGTGGTGGGATTGACTGGATTGTCGGAAGTGAGACATTTCAACAAGTATATTCCCACCTCCGATTTGGCCGTTTCTCAGTATGCAATCTTAAGCAACATTGCGTCCTTGTGTTCGGTCGTTTGAGCTACAAGATCACAGCGCATCTCAATCCTCGCAAAGATGCCTCTTGTGTCTTCGCGTCCTTCCGAGTTCGTTCTTTCAAGGTAGCCAGGCAAAGATCGGTCTCCACGAGAACACAAGTCCGTTCTTTGCATTCTTGGAATTGAGAAACAGTCTTTGTCTCAAATGCAGAATTAATCCTGGAGACACACCATTCTACATTTTGTGTCTCCCTTATTTATAACCTCTGATTTAGATCATCAGCTTGTTACGAGAGAGCTTCATAAACTAAACTAAGTACAGTATGTCAGATAAGATACATACAAAATGCAGGATTAAGAACCAACCATTGTCCTAAGCAATTGTAACTGTGACCTTAATTGTATACCGCCTGCAAACTGTTAGTGTCTTAAGGACCGTTCCACAAGTGCATGTGCAATAATTGATTATGGTTAATTGAACAAACATGAAAAACATTGTTTAAACCCTCTCCATTAAAGATCTGTAAAACTTATTTGGATTCTAAACATTGTTGCTACAATACTGTATCCTGAAAAAGGGACATTAATAAAAATGTTTATAAACAGTTATAGCAGTAAATAATTAGTAATTCTCGACTCACCATAGACAGTGAGATTGAATGTGTTGAGTGGTGTCTCTGTTCTGGTGCTGGTGACTTTATAAAGTCCAGAGTCTGTGGTTCTGGTGTTTGTGATGCTCAGAGATCCAGTCTGATCCAGCTTCAGTCTGTCTCTCAATCTCTCATCAAGAAACTGTCTCTTATTGTCCTTTCTGTTGATTTTAGCTATGATACTGCTGTGTCCAAATCTCCACAATATCAGTTCATCTCCCATTATATCAGCATCATTGATGTTCAGAGTGACAGAATCTCCCTCCATCACAGACAGTAATGCCTGGTCACTGATTGGTCCCTGATCAGCCAATCACAATGAAGATATGACTCCTAACGTAAAGCGGCACGATCCCATTCATTTCAATGGAAAGCTGGCGATTTCTGGCGACACCGACAGCGGCCATTGGCGACGGATGGGGCGTGTCCAGCGACATGAAAAAGTTCAGAATCCTTGAGTAGGGGGAGACTGCAGACCTGGAGCAGGCAGATCTACGGCCCAGACAGTTTCACAGCCCAGGCAGTTTTACGCCCCTGTTGTTCCTGATGCGTCCAGTAGGGGGAGGCTGTACAGTATGAGCCATCAGAACAGAAGCGACACGAATAAGAGGTATGTTAAATAATCGCTAAAGTTATTATTGTTCAGCAATCGTGCAACGTTGCAACATTTATAGTTAAACGATTACGGGAGAGCTTCATAAACTAAACTAAGTACAGTATGTCAGATAAGATACATACAAAATGCAGGATTAAGAACCAACCATTGTCCTAAGCAATTGTAACTGTGACCTTAATTGTATACCGCCTGCAAACTGTTAGTGTCTTAAGGACCGTTCCACAAGTGCATGTGCAATAATTGATTATGGTTAATTGAACAAACATGAAAAACATTGTTTAAACCCTCTCCATTAAAGATCTGTAAAACTTATTTGGATTCTAAACATTGTTGCTACAATACTGTATCCTGAAAAAGGGACATTAATAAAAATGTTTATAAACAGTTATAGCAGTAAATAATTAGTAATTCTCGACTCACCATAGACAGTGAGATTGAATGTGTTGAGTTCTTATTCTTAACTTTAACGGTTAGTCAATGTGTTTCTGATTGTTTGCGCGCTTTCAAAGCGCTATAGGTCTATGTATTTTGTTACGGTTTTGTGGGTTGTTAAGCTATTTTGTACCGGCCAGCTGCGTGTGTTGTTTCAGAGAGGCTTGTCGCGAGCCGCTCACCTAGCGCCACGAGTGTGAAGGATGAGTGGGAGGCTGCAGAGTCAGACCTGGAGCAGGCAGATCTACGGCCCAGGCCGTTTTACGCCCCTGTTGTTCCTGATGCGTCCAGTAGGGGGAGGCTGTACAGTATGAGCCATCAGAACAGAAGCGACACGAATAAGAGGTATGTTAAATAATCACTAAAGTTATTATTGTTCAGCAATCGTGCAACATTTATAGTTAAATGATTAGCTAAGAGTTGATGTCAATTAATTTTAATATATTAGTAGATATAAATGTCTATAGTCGTATTAAAGTCTAAAAATGTCTATAAATGTACTTATTGACGGTCAGGTAGATGTAAGTAGTAACATTTGCACGTAACGTTATGCTATTTGTTTTCTTTGTTTAAAGAGCTTAGACTTTTGTGTGTGTGCTAGCTATTTTGATTGTTTCTCTTGCAGATTGGAAATGCCTGCATGAAACTCATCTATGAAGAGGTTTGAGCACATGTATAAATCTTTTTCATATTATTTTATATCAGCTGTAGTTTATTTGAGACTTTTTAGAGAGTTTCTTCATTTCATATTTGAATGGCAAGTGGTAGTCTGCTTACGTTTTCCTTTTACTCTCACAGGGCAAAGACATGTACACTGCCAACATGCATGTTATTGCCACAATCCTCTAGCCTACTCTCCAGTGAGTATTGAATGCATAAATCATACTATTTGACATCTACCATAAGTCAGAAGTAAAATAATAGGTATTCTTTACTGGTGCGACCCTTTGCAGAGCTTTGCGGTTGCCCGCAGTGCTGTTTCCAAACCAGGCAGTGATGCAGCCAGTCAGGATGCTCTCCACAGTGCAGGTGTAGAATGTTCTGAGGATGCTGGGGCTCATGCCACACTTCCTCAGCCTTCTCAGGAAGAAAAGGCGTTGATGTGCCTTCTTCAGCACTGCATTAGTGTGTGTAGACCATGTGAGATCCTCACTGATGTGAACGCCGAGGAACTTAAAGCTGTTTACCCGCTCCACAGGTGTCTTGTCGATGGTGATGGGTGTGTGTTCTCTGCTCTGTCTCCTGAAATCCACCACCAGCTCCTTGGTCTTGTTGATGTTGAGTGAGAGATGATTCTCCTGACGCCATTTAGTCAGGGTGCTCACCTCCTCTCTGTAGGCCGTCTCATCGTTGTCGGTGATCAGGCCTATCACCGTTGTGTCGTCAGCGAATTTGACGATTACGTTGGAGCTGTGTGTGGCTGCACAGTCATGTGTGTACAGGGAGTACAGGAGTGGGCTGAGGACGCAGCCCTGAGGAGCACCAGTGTTGAGGGTCAGCGGGGATGAAGTATTGTTGCCCATTCTGACCACCTGACTTCTGCCCGTCAGGAAGTCCAGGATCCAGCTGCACAGAGATCTGTTTAGTCCCAGATTCTGGAGCTTCTCAACGAGTGTGGCAGGCACTATGGTGTTAAATGCTGAGCTGTAGTCCACAAACAGCATTCTCACATAGGTGTTCTTATTTTCCAGGTGGGAGAGAGCAGTGTGTAGGGTGAAAGCAATAGCATCGTCTGTAGAACGGTTGCTACGATATGCAAATTGTAGCGGATCCAGTGAGGCAGGCAGCAATGATCAGATGTAGTCTCTGACGAGTCTCTCAAAACACTTGCTGAAGATGGGTGTAAGAGCAACGGGCCTCCAGTCATTCAAGCATGTGATTTTATTTTTCTTTGGTATGGGCACAATGGTGGATTTTTTGAAGCACGAGGGAACCACAGACAGAGAGAGGGAGAAGTTGAAAATGTCTGTGAAAACACCGGCTAGTTGGAATGCGCATGCTCGGAGCACACGGCCTGGGATGCCATCAGGACCCGCAGCCTTGCGGATATTCACCCGTCGGAATGATCGGGTTACATCCGCGACAGAGACGGAGAGTGCACTCACCTCTTCTGCAGCAGCCGCGGGAGCGCTCTCTGTGTGGGCGGTGTTGTGAGCCTCGAAACGAGCATAAAAGTTATTAAGCTCATCTGGTAGAGAGGCGGCAATGTTCACAGTAGCTGGTTTGTTCCCTTTAAAGTCTGTTATGTTATTGATGCCCTGCCACATGCTTCTTGCATTGTTGGTGTTGAATTGTTCTTCAACTTTGTTTTTATATTGTCTTTTTGCGGCTTTGATGGATTTCCTGAGACCGTAACTGGCTTGTTCAGTGGTTCCGGATTTAAAAGCAGATGTCCGCGCTGACAAGGCTGCTCGAACATCGCTATTAATCCACGGTTTTTGGTTGGGGTAGATGCGGATTGTTTTTGTCGGCACTACATCTTCTACGCACTTCCTGATGAAACATGTTACAGTATCTGAGTATGCCTCTATGTCGTCATCAGACGCTGCCCGGAACATGTCCCAGTCCACGTGATCAAAACAGTCCTGTAGTATAGCGTCTGATTGGTCCGACCAGCATTGAATTGTCCTGAGGGCGGGTGCTTCCCGTTTCAGTTTCTGCCTATAAGCAGGCAGGAGCAGAATGGAAGAGTGATCCGATTTGCCGAAAGGTGGGCGGGGGAGGGATTTGTAGGCGTCCCGGAAAGGAGAGTAGCAGTGGTCCAGTGCACGATCACCACGTGTGTTGATGGTGATGTGTTGAAAATATTTTGGAGTTATTGTTCTGAAGTTGGCTTTGTTAAAGTCCCCCGTAACAATAAACGCCGCATCTGGGTAAGCGGTTTCCTGCTCACTTATATTCCCATACAGTTCCTTGAGTGCCTGGTCTGTGTTGGCTTGAGGGGGAATGTAAACAGCTGTGATTATGATCGCTGTAAATTCCCTCGGTAGCCAGAATGGTCGACACAGAAGCATATGAAATTCCAGATCAGGGGAGCAGAAGGATTTAATAGAGTGTAGGTTCCTCTCATCACACCACGAGCGGTTGATAAAGAAACAAACGCCCCCACCTCTGCTTTTCCCTGTGAGCTCTTTTGTTCTGTCCGAGCGGTGCACGGAGAACCCCGTAAGCTCGATGGCTGAGTCTGGAACCTCTGCAGACATCCAGGTTTCTGTGAGGCAAATAATGCAGCAGTCCCTTGTTTCTCGTTGGTATGAGATGCGTGCCCGCAGTTCACAGAGTTTGTTGTCCAGTGACTGAACGTTAGCCAGCAAAATGGTTGGGAGAGGAGGTCGGAGGGGACGACGTCTGAGTCTGACAAGGACGCCGGCTCTCTTCCCCCTTTTCCGGCGGCGTTTCCTCGGTCGCGACCGTGCGGCCCAGACAAAGGGCTCTGATGCGGTGTCTGTAAACAGAGCGCCGGCGTTCAAGAACTCAAAGTCCGGTTTGCGTTGCGCGACGTAGGAGCCAATGTTTAAAAGCGTGTGTCTATCGTAGACAGTTATACTAACAACATCCAACACGTAGAACAACAAAATAACAAGTAAAACAAACGAAAAACTGCAGAGTTTTCTCGGAGCTCGCAACACGGCTGCCATGCTCGGCGCCATCTTGAACCAATCTTAAGGACCGTTCCACAAGTGCATGTGCAATAATTGATTATGGTTAATTGAACAAACATGAAAAACATTGTTTAAACCCTCTCCATTAAAGATCTGTAAAACTTATTTGGATTCTAAACATTGTTGCTACAATACTGTATCCTGAAAAAGGGACATTAATAAAAATGTTTATAAACAGTTATAGCAGTAAATAATTAGTAATTCTCGACTCACCATAGACAGTGAGATTGAATGTGTTGAGTGGTGTCTCTGTTCTGGTGCTGGTGACTTTATAAAGTCCAGAGTCTGTGGTTCTGGTGTTTGTGATGCTCAGAGATCCAGTCTGATCCAGCTTCAGTCTGTCTCTCAATCTCTCATCAAGAAACTGTCTCTTATTGTCCTTTCTGTTGATTTTAGCTATGATACTGCTGTGTCCAAATCTCCACAATATCAGTTCATCTCCCATTATATCAGCATCATTGATGTTCAGAGTGACAGAATCTCCCTCCATCACAGACACTGACTTCACTTCATCAACACCAAACACACCTGAAGAACAAACAGAGATATTTACTCAATAAAAGATTTTCTGATAGTATTAGTCATTTTTAAACTATTTAAAATGTTATAATTGCAAAACAACTCGTCACCTAACTAATTTCAATGTATATTTCAATAATGTGCAATAAATTATACAAATTATGTCACTGGATAAGAAAAATTACATCTTTTGTGTAGTCTGACAAAACATGAAAATTAATAATGGAAAATATAACAGAATGCTGTGTATTGAGACAAATAATAATATAAACAGAAATGAAGCCATAAAAATACTTACCACTCAGACTCCACAAGCTCAAACAAAAGAATATAAACATGTCAAATAAGTTTTTAGGCATTTCGTTTAACGGTTATTAGGCCTACAACAGTTCCTAATTTTGTAAAGGCTATATTTAAACAAACCAAAACGCAAAACACAACAAAAATGTAATAATAAACGGGGAGAGTGCTGATGGTCTGTAATAAAGTGGCACTTTCTAAGCACTGCTTCGTGAAGCTTCAAGCTTCGAAACTTCTATGAATCATTTGTTTTGAACCTTTGTGTGTGTGCTAGCTATTTTGATTGTTTCTCTTGCAGATGGGAAATGCCTGCATGAAACTCGTCTATGAAGTACACATTTTTTTCACATTATTTTATATCAGCTGTAGTTTATTTGAGACTTTTTAGAGAGTTTCTTCATTTCATATTTGAATGGCAAGTGGTAGTCTGCTTACGTTTTCCTTTTACTCTCACAGGGCAAAGACATGTACACTGCCAACATGCATGTTATTGCCTCTATAATATAGAGGCAATAACATTGCCTCTATATTATCTTTACTGGTGTTATTTGTGTTTTTTAGGATAATGCTTTCATGAAGGATGCCCTTGTGTTCCCTGCATGAACTCAAGCCACTGGCCCAGATCATTATCTGTTATGTGTAAGATTTACAGGGTGTAGCTCATAAGAATATAGTAATTATTAAACTTTGTGGTTTGGAGGGATTGTGATAATGCAAATGTGAAATGGATTGTCATAACACTTTTTTTATACTCCCTGGCCATAACCATTGCTTATGAGGCCTACAACAGTTCCTAATTTTGTAAAGGCTATATTTAAACAAACCAAAACGCAAAACACAACAAAAATGTAATAATAAACGGGGAGAGTGCTGATGGTCTGTAATAAAGTGGCACTTTCTAAGCACTGCTTCGTGAAGCTTCAAGCTTCGAAACTTCTATGAATCATTTGTTTTGAACCAATGATTCGGAGCGCGTGTCATGCTGCCAAAGTCACGTGCTTTCAGTAAACGAGGCTTCGTTACGTCACTAATGTTTCGAAATTGCAATGGCTCGCCGCTGGAGGGCGATGTCTGTGAACCCATGCGAGTTCACTTATAAGCTTTAGAATTTTGTACACATTTTTAATATGACATTTATAATTAAAATTATAGAATATGATAGAAACAATAGCAGTCCATAGTCTCTTATTGGCCTATTGAGCGGAGCCGTCCAGAACAAACAAAGGCTATTATACAGGCACTTAATGAGTAATGGTAGGCCTATTAGATGATTAGTTAATTGCATTGCATGCTTTCAGTAAAATATTTGCTATTGGTTTGGGAATGTAAATACTGCATGTTTAGCCTGAGTTTTTCTTGCATTTACACAGTTTTGACCAGCAGGCGTTACCAGCCTGAGGAGTTTCGTATTGGTTCAAATGATTCAAAGCTTCGAAAGGTCGTTTCTCCATCACTACATAGGGAATCAAAAACAAAACAAGAAAAACAAATTGGGGAATACAACAATTAAATAAATAAACAAACATACATTTATTTAAGCATTAGCATATAATATGGGATGTTTTCAAAGCTTTTTATTTGAGGACAGATTTTGAAATTATGAGAATAGTAAAAGTGAATCAGAAGTGAATATTTTACAATTAGGTTTAATGTGTGGTGTCTTGCATTGTGAATGTGGTACAAATAAAGTCCAGGACATACAAATAATACAAATTAAGTCCAAGACATTGTCAAGCTTCCTATTGTCAGAAACACCAGAATGAAAAAAACATTAATTAAAAGAAATATTAAAAAGAAGTATTACACAAGAAGCAGGATGCTGAAATATGAAGCCAGAAGTGTTTAGTGTAAGAACATAAATAGAATAAATCTGAGAGAGATTCTTACTTTTTGGCAAAAAGAGCAGAGTGGAGAAACATTTTTCTTTTTTAATTTAAATGTATGAATTACTTAAATATATTAATTTAAATGTATACATGTATTAATGATTAAATGTATTAATTTACTTACATATTTATTGCAAGGATAATAATGATGAATCATTTTAAAATTGACTTCTTTTATCTCCTTTAGACCCTGTGGCCACTGAAATTGACATCACATGATTTTTTGTTTCAATAAATGATTTGTTTTTATAATATATATATATATATATATATATAGTGGGGACGGAAAGTATTCAGACACCCTTCAATTTTTCACTCTTTGTTATATTGAAGCCATTTGCTAAAATCATTTAAGTTAATTTTTTTTCCTCATTAATGTACACACAGCACCCCATATTGACAGAAAAACACAGAATCGTTGACATTTTTGCAGATTTATT